AGCGGTTAAATGTTTATGGTTAAACATAAACTTTGGTTAAACTCTAACCCAACCTTCTGGGTAGTAACCCAACCGCTGGGTCAAAACAACCCAATTGCTGGGTTTGTCCATAATTCACCCAGCACTGGGTTGTATTTAACCCAGCATTTTTAGAGTGTATGTAAACTTGCATAAAAAATATCCATAATAGAATGGGTAGGCCTATATTTATATTATTGCATTAAATAGATATTTACATTATTATAAACGTAATGTTGTTATATTTTAAACAAATATTTTTATCATTGGTTTGTTCATTTATTTATTCATTTATTCCTGCTATATATGGCCTTCATTTTAGTCTTTCTTTTTAGTCATTCTTTAGTCTTTTGAGTTGAGAGTAAGTCAATAATCACAGTCGGTATAAATAACTTAAAGTTGACAGTGCATTGAAATGGAAATGTGAGATGAACTCCTGGGAGACGGATCTTCGCGGCACAATCAGAAATAATGTTTAATGAATGAATGGAGATGATCTATGTGAATATAAACATGCAATCAGATAAACATGCACAAAAATAAGTTATAAAGGAGGCAGAGAGATGGTGTATGTCCCAGATTTACAGAAAGAAGCAGGATGAAGGATAGGCTCTTTGGCACTCTTTATCTGCTTTTCTCCACAAATGTGTTGATGAGAAGCACTTTTTGCCGGTCAGATTAACAAGGGAGTAGAATAGGGACGCTTGGGACATGTACCTACCAATATCCAGCAACCACTAAATTGTCCCTAGCAATAATTTTATTCAAACAAATATAGCCTATGTGTATGTAATGTTGATCTGAAATGATGGTTCGCGAATCATTTGATTCAGATCGGGACTTCGAGTGCGGATCGTGAATCTTTTGATTCAGATCGGAACTTCCGAGTGAATTCGCGAATCATTGCGCGAATTGAATGATTGGTGATCCACGCTCCTATGTGCTGATCTGAAATGATTCGCGAATCATTTGATTCAGATCGGGACTTCGTAGCGCGGAGCGCGAATCATTTGATCAGAACTTCGGGGCGTGTTCGTGAATCTTTTGATTCAGATCGGAACTTCGGATTTTTTCTGATTTATTTTTCTTATTAAACGGTGCAAAACATCAAACCACAGTGCAATTATAAAAACAAAACAAAGAAAGAAGATAGCTAAATTATACACAAATACAAATCCCTTAAGAAAAATATTGTAAAAGTGTACTAACCCTTTTTTTGTTTACAAATGGTTAAACTGCAAGTGGTTACCATGGTTTAACTATGCTATAGTAATGTGTTTTTTGTTCGTTTTTTTGCCGTAAAACCATAGTTAATTTTCCTAAGGGATGTGTTGCAGGTTAACAACAACAAAAAAATGTATACCTTAAGAGGACACATAGGATGAATATGAAGTTTTGACTGCTTTAGGATTAACAGAGCTTGTCTAGATAACTTTGAATAAAGAAAAGAGAGGTTTAGAGACAGATTTTTGTTTATGTATACAGTATGTGAAATTTAGCTTAAGTGTTATTTTCCTAGTCTCTTTTGAGTAGTCAGACAATCCAATGAAAACATCTTTAAAACAGAAAGAAAAGTCACTTACAAAATGAGATTAGATAAACATTAAAAAATCTGACCCAATTTTCTCTGTGTGGGTACACTGGCAAACAAGTGAACACCATCTTCCTCAGAAGAGTGACCAAAACAGCAGATCATTTCAAAGTCTGTCTTATAATTACATCCATAAGCTTTTTGTGAATTTTTAAGTTTTTTTTTTTTAATTATTATTATTTCTTTACTCAGATGATCTGTTGCTTGACCATATTTATGGAGAGAACTATAGTTTCCAAAGTTGGACATCACTTGTCATGGGTGTATGGAGTTTAGTAGGGAAACTATGACTTGTCCCTATATCCAGTGACTACTAAATTGTCCTTAGCAATAATTTTGATCAAACATTTAATTAAATGTCTGTTGCCTGCTGTTATGTCCCCACTCCCGCCAAAATCAAACCTACACCCTTCCAAATGAATCTTACCAAAATGAGATTAGATAAACATTAAAAAATCTGACCCAATTTTCTCTGTGTGGGTACACTGGCAAACAAGTGAACACCATCTTCCTCAGAAGAGTGACCAAAACAGCAGATCATTTCAAAGTCTGACTTATAATTACATCCATAAGCTTTTTGTGAATTTTTAAGTATTTTTTTATTATTATTATTTCTTTACTCAAATGATCTGTTGCTTGACCATATTTATGGAGAGAACTATAGTTTCCAAAGTTGGACATCACTTGTCATGGGTGTATGGAGTTTAGTAGGGAAACTATGACTTGTCCCTATATCTATCGACTACTAAATTGTCATATCAAAAGTTTGGGGTCAGTAAATTTTCTTTCTTTTCTTTTTCTTTTTCTTTTTTGAACAGATTACTATTTTTATTCAGCAAGGATGTGTTTGATAAATTGATTTTTTTTAAAAAGGGTTAGTAAAGACTTATATTGTTTGAAAAGATTTCCATTTTGAATAAATGCTGTTCTTTTTAACTGTTTATTCATCAAAGAGTCCTGAAAAAAAGTATCACAGGTTCCAAAACATATTAAGCAGCACAACAGTTGCCAACACTGATAATAAATCAGCATATTAGAATGATTTCTGAAGGATCATGTGACACTGAAGACTGGAGTAACAACTGATAAAAGTTCAGCT